ATTGACACAGGACAGAGTGGAGTTTAGGGCTGTTGTACACAGGGTCGCTATGAGTCGCAGGCGACTCGACGGCACATAACAACAACAACAACATACTCACTGCCATTGAGTTGGAACCAACTCATAGCTGAATCTCAGTGAGTTTATAGAGGCTGTAAGTCACATGGGAGGTTTGCCTCTCTTTCTCCTGCAGTCACTGGTGGATCTGAAGCACTCAAGGACCTGCCTTTGAGTTAGCCGTGCCAGCTCTCTACATACCATGCTGCCAGAGCTCCTTCATGCTTTTCAAAGCTCATCCTAAATGCTTCTTCCTCTTGGAAGTTTCCAAATAATTCCCTTTCTATCTTATCAAAGTGATGTATTTGTCATTTTGTTAACTATATTATTCTCATTAAAAATCTAATACTTTTCCTCATGGTTATTTTCCCCAGCTTGAAAATAAAGACTATTAACTATGTACTAAGCAAAAGGGGAAAGGTTCTATTGGAAATTTTTCCAGGAAATTTTCTTCACACATGGATTATTTTCTTTTTTAATCTTGCTAGTGTCTTAAATTTCTGAAAATGTATACAATTATGTAATCTACATCCAAATATTCTTAAATAAATATAGACTGTAATGCCCTGAATAAAAGTCAAATTTATTTTCTGAAAATGAAATCAGAACCTAAAAAGCAGAAAATCATGATCATAATCATTCACCTGTAAAATCTCAACATTCAATTACAACCTCAGAGATCATAAGTAAGAAACCTAATACCTAAGCAATGATATTAGATGTTAACCGGCAAAAAACAAAAGAGTATACTAACTCAAGAGATTACAAGTCTATATGTCATTGTTTGCTGCCATTAACTTGGTTCCTAATGATAGGGACCCCATGTTCAAGAGAACAAAGCATTCCCTCATCCTGGGTCATTCTCCTAATCACTGATATGTTTGAGTCCACTGTTGAAGCCACTGTCATTAAGAGTCAGATATAGAACAAATAAAAATCCAGAAACATTTTCTGACTGAATATGCTTGTCACATGGTTCTAGCTCTGTACCAAAATGAGGAAAGCAGTTATTTGTCAGGCTTATGCCAACAGAAAAGAAACAGGTAGCTGAATGACTTAATGATCTTTTTGTTGTTGGCTGACTCAGTCCCCAAACCATGGCAACTCTACATACCATGGAAGTAAACGCTGCTTAGTCTAGCAATCCCCAGGATCAGCTGCGGATCAGACTTAGTAACTGGCTGATCTTCTGAAGCAGATCAGCAGGCTGTTCCTCGTCTGTCTTGTCTGGATGATCCTGATTCTTCAATACAGTCAGTCTTTCTTCCTATTCCCTACTCACCACATGCCCTTCTAACTATATCACATATTATTTGCCTCCATATATATTTGACTTATAAGTGAAATGAAGGCCATCATAAAGAAAGGTATGGTTGGCTTAAAAGTTAAATTTCTTACCAAAAGTGGATAGGTGTCAACTTGGCTTATAAATCAGTCTTTTGTGAACATTATGTAAACATTATGAAATGTCAGTTATTACTCCATATAGTAAGAACGCTGAATTCTCCACCTTAATTAACTGAAAACTGCCCTGGAATATGGTGATAAAATCCACTGCACTGTCCCAAGAGGGACAATCAGGTGGTTATCCAGCCTCCCTACATGACAACACTTAACTTTTGAGACTCTAACAAAGAGCAGAAAGGCATAATAATCAAACCTTCCTAATTATTTCCATACGTGTGGTTTAACATTATCTATTAAGAACTCAAAACTCAGTGCTGTCAAATTGGAACAGACTCAGAGTGATACTCCAGCAGGTTTCTGAGGACAGAAATCGCACATCTTTCTCTCAAGTTGTCCTGGCAGATCTGAACCTGGAGGAAGGTTTGTCTTCAGGCTAGCGGGCCAAATCCCTACAGCAGGTTGTAACTGACCTGTTTTAAAATGTCCGATTGGGGCTGGGACTAAATTTCTAATAATACATCAGTTTCTAATATATTATGATTCTAAAAATTTTATCTACAAGTCTTCAAAATTACTATATCCTTCAAGTTCAGGCTATCAGGAATCTGCATCCTTTTCTCTATTAGTCCTATGGACCTTCCTTGCATAATTACCATGCAATTTTTATTCATATGTGTGTGTGTGTGTATGTATGTATGTATGTATGTCCTGTTGGAGAATCAGATAATATGGGTAAATTCTCTTTAAACTTTCACTAATACAATTTTGATCATTCTTATTTTCTATTCACTTGTCTAGTATAAAGTCTCTAAGAAATCCATTTTTACATGCACAAGAGATTTCTACTGAGGACCCCTAAAATTTATTGCTAAATCTTCCATACAGATTTTCTTCAAGTCTTTAAGTTATTACCATTTATCACAAAAAAAATTACTTTGCTAGCATATTATTACTTTTTCTGGAAAAGTAAGCTGTGTGTTGTCCTAGAATGAACTAACGAATCTACTAAAGAAAATTATTATCTGGCCTCTAGTTTATGATTACCTTATCCTAGAATACCCAGAGATTTAAATATTTCATAACTTTCGTAACTTACTCGCTCACTGTGGACTGACAGCTAACTACGCTCGCAGTGGGTTTGTGCAGGCACTAAGTCGCCCAGGAGGCGAGTTTACCCATCTTTCTCCCTCAGAGTCACCGGTGGCTTCAAATAGTGGATTCAAATAGCCAGAGGCACCACCTTTGGATTGGCAGAGCAAATCCCCATTCCTTCCCACTAGGCAATGAGTTGTTGCTAGGTGCCATCAAGTCAACCAAGAATCATAGCAACTCCATGAACAAGAGATCTGAACCTTGGCCTATACTGCCCCATTCTCACAACCTCCCCCATGCTCAAGCCCACTGTTAACAGTCACTGGCCAATTTATCTAGCTATAGGTCTTCCTCTCTCTCTCTCTCTGACCCTCTACTTCTCTTAGCATGACATCTTTTTCCAAGGATGGACTTCTCCTGACAACATGCCCAAAGTATATAAGACAAAGTTTCACCATCCTTACCTCTTAGGAATACCCTGGTTGCCCTTCCTCTTAAGACAGACTTGTTTGTTCTTTTGGCACAGAAAACTTATTTGTTCTCTGGCCACCAGAACTCCCTGCTTTTGCTATCTAAAAAGACATATTAGGAATAAAGATCTTCCTATACGGAATCAATCCCAGTTCTGTACTTACTGAGCCAATGCCATCCATTAGTGTTAAGAGTGAAGCCACAACTCTTTTTTCCACTTCGTTTTGAGCCCCATCTCTCTTAGGGCAAAGTGCATCCAGTTCATCAATAAATATAATTGATGGGTGTCTAAAAACAAACAAAGTAAATTTTCTAACTTACTTTAATTTTACTTGATCTCAATTTTTTTAACTGAAAAGTAACAGAACTTAAGATTCTCTTAAAGATTGTAAAGATTAAAAAAGATAGAGATTAGAGATAAAGATTAGGCTATTAAGTTAAAAATTTTACATTTTGTCTAGCTCAACTTATCCTCACCATTAACAGATTTTAGAGCTCCCTTCCTTCAATAAGAAAACATTCTGACAAGCCACTGCCCACGAGAAAATACGAGAACAGACTCAATCAAAATTTGAAGCAAGAGACGTCTCTTTGGAAGTTTAAAGCCCTATGGATATAAGCTAGAAACAGACTCTTTCCACTCTAGAACTTTAAAGATGATCAATTCACCAGAAGATGTATAATCTCACATAAGGAAAAACTTCAATTGCCATGACCATGATTACAAACACTAAGAATAAAAGATGAACTATGACAATACTCCTTAGACTTCCACAACTAGGAATACACACCACTTATTTGATCCACTATCATTAGGAAAAAATATAACAGAAGCTTTAAAAGTGCTAGTTACTTTGATAAGAAAGTTGTAAGTATGGTAAGCTGAATATCAAAAACCGATGGCAAGACAGACCAAATGTAGGACTATATTAGAAATCATTAAAGACCATACTTTAAAGCTCAGATCAATGTAATACATAGGAATAACCAGTAAGATTACTTTTTTAAAGGGCAAAAGATTTGTTGCTTTGAAGTAGAACATTAAAACAATTTTAAGCATAAGAGATTAATTAAGTCTATTAAGAGAGCTAGGTATATTGGATAAGCCTTAAAGAAGCATCATATATGGATACTGTCAAGCAAGATCATATACTTTATTAAACAACATTTGTCTTAATTCCCCTGTTCTATGTAAAGTTTATTAAACTTGCAAAACAATTTTAGGCTTAAATTAAAACTGCACTGACTTTACTATTTGTAATTACTATCATTTTTATATCATTCTTTTATGCTTTGTATAAAGTGCTGATCGATCGATTTTGATTAAAATATCCCTTATTATTAATTCCAAAAAGGTCTAAAAATAAAGAATACCGCAGAGTGGCTTCAGCAAATATCTGACGTAACCTTGCTTCAGTCTCGCCATAAAATCTGTAACAAATAAAATACATTTAAGAACCAATTCTTGTTTTTAAAGCTTTGTCCAGAAAGCTAATCTGTTTCCTCAAATTTGTTTTAAAAAATTATTTTCCAAACTTAATTTTACATACTCTGAAAATAAAATTTAGTTTAGAGTCACCCTTTCATGGACAATCCTAGTTAATTTGGCTAATAATATGTTTAGTGCTTCTGTTCTACCTATTAGTTCATTGTATAGTGCCCAGTCTTAAAAGCTTGCAGACAGTCATCCATGGCATAACAATAGGTCTCTACTCATCTGAGGCAGCAAAGAAGAGGAGGAATAGAGTAAGGAATAGAGATAGGATATAGAATGTGTGGCAAACTGCCTCTGTAAACTGCTCTTTTAAGAGAAATGACTGACTTTTTAAAATAGAATTGGATAGTGTTCAGCTACCATTACTAGAAACTTTAATCAAAGATTCCATAAAAGAATTCTAGTCAAAGGGGAGAAAATGAAAATCCTCAGATTCTCAATTTTATGGAGGGTTGGAGGGTAAATAAACCCTTGAAACCACTGCCCTGAGGTATCTCTCAGTTTTAAACCAAAAATATCCTTAAAGTCATCTTACAGTCAAACAATAATTTAACTTACCTAGTAAAAAAAGGCCAAATATAAGCATAAGGGGTCTTTTAAAAACTACTTATGAGGAATCAAACTGACAAAAATAAATCAAAAGATTAGATTACTTTGAGAGGTAATGAGCTTGTGTTAAAGGTGGAACAGTTCAGAAAAGGAGGTTTAAAAAACTGCACAATCTAAAGAATGTAATCTTCTATGTGATTAACTGCCTCTGAAAATCCATGGAGGGTGAGTTGGTTCCAACTCAAGGGTACACAAAACAAGGAGTCACTGTACATTATATACAGAAATTATTGCATCAATGTACGTATTTTACGTATATTTTCAACAAAAGAATAAGTAAGAAAATTTAGGGTTAAAAAGTAAATTTAATATAGTTCAATTAAGGGAAGATGCAGAAAATGGAATATTATACAACCATTTTTAAGAATACATTTCATAATATCAGATTTGGCCTAATAATATACTTACTTGCTAATAATTTCAGGACCATTAATGACAGAAACATGAGCTCCAACTTCATTAGCAATAGCCTTGGCAATCATTGTCTTTCCTGTACCTGGAGGGCCATAGAGCAGCACTCCCCTAGGAGGAGGAATTCCTGTAATACAGGAGAGTCAGCATTACAGGTGTTATCACATGACATCAAACATGCACTGTAAAATATATTTTTACCTTGTAACACTAATAGAGTCAAAATCTGTCCTTATAAAAATGATATATATGAAATAGCCCAAACAATGATCTTCAGCAATGAAGATTAGCTTTCTCTTTGTAGACATAGACAAATTTAAAAAACAACTATCCAACACAGCTGGATGAACACATATTGTTGCAAGCCCCTTCATTTATCACAGTTCCATGAAAACAAAGCAGTAAGTACAGTAAAAAAAAAAAATAAAGCCTTGTTGGGGTTGGGTGGAAATCAAAGCCTTGATTGCAATTTTCTTTCAATGAGGTATGTTGGAAAATTTAAGTAAAATGCCAGTCCAAGGTTTCTCATTTTAAAAAGTTATGAAAAAAGGACTATCAGAAAGAAAAATAACACACACCAGATACACCTAGAGGACATGGACATTACTGCAGATGAAGCCCTGAGTTTTCTAGCAGCCAAACTGTAACAGAAACTACTTACCACAACAAAGATATCTATATACACCTACAATTCCAATAAAGGTATTTTATCAAATGTATTTGAATAATAATTTGTTTAGTCACTACAGTTTATCTAGTTTTCTCTAGTATAAGATTTAGGCAGCTCTGATGGCTTGCTCTAAGAAGCTGGGCTGCCAATGTCTCCGCATGTGTGATCTACTGCGTCTGAAAACCAGCTGGAGGGTCAGCTATGAGTTGGTTCCGACTGAACAGTATATAACAACAGTAGTTTAAGATATTGTATTTACATTCAATCCCAACAACTGTGGCATATGTACTTAAAAGAGAAAGGACACCAATAATTCATCTTACAATTGAGAGACCAAAGCACACAAAAAAAGGCTCTATTAATTGGTATCTCCCAAGTAAAGTGACATCTACCCTGTCTACCCCTCAGGAAATAAGAATAGAAAACCAAAACCAACCAAACCCAACTGAGTCAGTTCTAACACATAGTGATGCTACAGGACAGAGAAGAGCTGGCTCTTATGGGTACCAAAGACATAGATCTTTATGGGAATAGACTACCTCATCTTTCTCCTGGAGCTGCTGGCATGTTCAAATTGATGATATTTTAGATAGCATTCTGGCATTTAACCCACTACACTACAGTCCAAACTCAATCACAGCTGAGCCTCATAGCTGGGTTTTCAGAGGATGGAAATCATACCAGAGGAGACTGCAAATCTTTCTTCCTTAGGGTTGCTGGGTCATTTTAACTCTAAGAGGCATGACCTTTGGGTTAGCAATACAATTCCCTACAGACTATGCTCCTGTCCTTAAAAACAGGTAACCTAAATCCAAGTCTAAACTCACTTATACTGAGTCCATTCTGACTCACAATGACCCTTCAGAGGAGGAGATTGTCCATTACTCCTCTGCAGAGCAGCTGGTGGCTCTGAGCCTCAAACCTTTCAGTTCGTAACCCAATATGCTACTCATTAGGCTACCAGAGTGCTTAAAAAAAATATGTAAAAACCACCCCTACAGAGAAAAAGGGACTAAACACTGGGTAAGTAATATTGGACAAATGCTTGTTAGTTGTAATTTAATATTTTTTTTTATACAATAAAGAGAGCATACCATAACTCTTGAAGAGTTCAGGCTGTTTGAGAGGCAATTCAATTATTTCTCTAATTGCTTTTAACTGATTCTTCAAGCCTCCAATCATGTCGTACGTGACTTTGAATTGGATGTCTTGCTCTTTTGAATTTGTACAAATCTTTGTGAAATTGACTCTTGTTGTTGAAGAAATAAAATAAAAATTATCGGTGTTGAATTTTACTCCCATGCTAGCTGACTTTAGAACTCTCTCCTCATTGGTAAGTTGTTCATTTCTTTCTCTTGCAGACTCAAAACTACATTTGAGACTTGTGATTCCCTCTAGTGCAAGCTCACTATGTTCACCAGGACTCTGAGGAATAGTTGATAATATGGCATCAGCTTTGCTTTTAATTCGGTCACTTAGTGGTTTGCAAGGAGTACTACTTGATACTGGATCCCGGTGCTCTTCCAGACTTAACCGGCTTAGCTGTAAGGACATATCCATGCTACAGGTTTCCAAGCTGGACTGTTCAGAGGTTATTCCCTGTGCACCATTATCAAAATTATTCTGAGGCCATCCCAATATCATGCCATCTGTCCCTTTAACTCGCAACACTTGCAACTTGCATGGTTTTCCATAGAACGTGCAGTACAGAAAATTGCCTGGTAAAACAATCTTGCCATCTAGAAAAGAAATTTTTCAAATATATATGTTAACACAATTTTCACATACTTGATGTTTAAAAAGCAATTTATTTAATCTGTTAACAAAAGTACCTGAATAAAAAAGATTATAAACCCTAAATCAAAGTTGGAATATTATAAAGTAATTGTTACTGAAAAATAAAGAATCTATGATAAAGCACTATATAGTTAAAACAAAACCACAAATGACAAGATAATTGTTTTAGATCCACTATATTTACAACAGATGTTAGATTCTAGATCAAGAATATCACCAAAGTCAACACTGACAATTTAACTAACCTAAAACAGCACAACTAATTCAGCACTCCATATTAATACTTTTCACTAATGCAGTGCTTAAATCTTAAAAGACCTTGGTTTTGGCTACCAATAATGTTCACAAACAAGTTATAGAGCCTCTCCAGTTCTCAATTATTATTCAGTTAATTACAATTAATTCCATGTTTATCTCACAAGAATATTAATGCAGAAAGGCAAATAATATCTAATCTAGTATAAAGAAAATGACATTAAAGTCTCAAAGTCCATTTTCACCGCTACATTTTTACTTCTCAAAAATTACAAAGGAACTTCAAATGTGTCTCACCCAGTTTTCTCAGAAGACAACCAGTCAGTTCTTTTTCATTGAGCTGCACATTTTTGTTACTGTAGAAAGAGGTTAAAGACAGGGAAAAAGTGAAATAGAAATTAGCATTAATTACACCAGAAAGTAAAATGTAAGATAAAATGACACGTGCACAGTGACCTGATCAAAGGAGTAATTTGTTTAAAACCCAGAAATTATTTACATCATTTTGACAGGACCAAAAGCTTACACCTTTAAAGTACATCTTGTCTTTATTGTTGTTTTTGTTATTATGTGCCATAAAATACATCTTACAACCATGAAAATATACCTTACAATTTAAAAAGGGTACATCAAAAGGGGAAAGCAGGTTTTCAGAGGCAGTTAATCACACAGGAGGAAAATCAATCCTTCTCCAGCAGAGCAGCTAGTGAATTTGTACCATGTTCCTTTAGGATTGCAGGGCAGTTTCTTACCACTAGGCCACCAGAGCTCCTTTACAACCATATAATATACATCTAAAAGGTAAACACTGTATTACTCTGTAAACTATTAAATTCTTATATACATATAAATTAGTGTATATACATGCACATATGCATAAACATACCTGAATATAAATGCAAATATGTGTGCTTTGTGTACTATATCTATATACTATATGCTTGTGTATATATAAAAAATAATGAAAATGCATTTTTGTGTCATAAAAACATCTGAAAAACAGTAAGCAAAATTAACCATCAATTTAAATAAAAAATTAAATAAAAGACCAAAACCAAAGTCAGAGAAAATTGTACTTTGTTCAGGAATGTAGGGCACTTGAAGTAAATGGAAGAATAAACTAAAATTGCTGTACAGAATATTTCAAAGGGCTAGTGAAGACAAAGGAAAATATAATAATGAAATGTATAAAAGAGTTGGAATTAGAAAACCAAAGGAAAAAAAAATAAAATGTGCATAGTTCTTAAGCTGAAAAAAGTGAAGGAAAAATGCAAACACCCAGGTGCAGTTCTGAGAGATTAAATGGGCAAAATATTGAAAAGTAAGCATCAATAGAAGATAGAAGGAATTCAAAGTCACTGTACTTAAAAGAACTAGTCAATGTACAACCACCTTAACATTGTTGTTACGTGCCATCGAGTCGTCTGCGACTCATAGTGACCCTATGTACAACAGCCCTAAATGCTGTTCTATCCTGTGCCAACCTAGCCATCTCAAACACTTATTCCCACCGCTCCAGTCACAGAATCAATCCATCTCATCGAAGGTCTTCCTCTCCTTCGCCGCACCTCCACTCTGCCAAACATGATATCCCTCTCCAAGGACGAGGCCCACCTTGCAACCTGCCCAAAGTATGTCAGATGAAGCTTCAGAATCCCTGACTCCAAGGAGCAGTCCGGCTTCACCTTCTCCAAGACAAACCTGTTTGTTCTCCTAGCAGTCCATGGTATAGTCAACACTCTTCTCCAGCACCACAGCTCAAAGGCATCAATTTTCTTTTTATCAACCCTATTCACTGTCTCTTAAAAAATGTATTTGCTATGAATAACTCTCTAAAGTGCTGAAGAGCAATGGTATCTCTTTGGAGACTAAGGTGTGTCTGATACAGGCCATGG